CCTGCAAATAAACTATGTTGTGCTGCGGCACGCATCCATGCTGCCTGCTTCAGAGGAAAACCACTGCTTGTGTTGAAGACGACATCCACAGTGGACAGGCAACAATTTTTAACGAACAAAAACAAAATTGATATCATTCAATAGACACAGATAGGCTCACAAAGTGTCGGCACCATGATTGTTGTTGGTTTTACTCTTGCATACAAACAAAGGTGACTTCCTCTCTCCTCCGATGGCCAGTAAAACCCCCTTATCTTGGTGGCCCCTATTTCTTCTCGAATCGGTCACAGAGGACATAATCGCAGCCACTGAATTCCGCAAAATTAAAGGCCGCGAAAATTAAAGGTTCGCCAACATTAAGGGGTTTACTGTTCTTCTGAGTGTCACATGATGTTAACATTTCAAGGAGGCTGAAGGTATTGGTTTAAGAAAAATTTACCTATGAAAAAAATGCCCTTCTCCAGGTTAGGCACGTGAGGTTCTTTTGCACTACCTATAAGGTGGCAAGTTTATTTCGGCAGAGCTTTTGGTAAAACGGAGTCACAAAAGTAGCTATACTTGGCGTCAACTATTTTGTGCTGCATTATAAAGCCAGAGTAGATTCCACAGTGCGTGCTTCAGCAGAGCACTGTTTGTTGCGAGAGCATATGTGGTTTAGTGTTGCATCCCATTTGCATAATCTAGAGAAACTAGCGCGGACAGAGTTGGAGCACTCCAAATATTAACAGCCGACTGTAGAAGCATTGAGAGATGCACACATGTGAACTGTGCATTTCTTAAAGGTGGGTTCGAGCTAAGGTAAAAACAATATCTATACTTACGGCGGCCATACTTGCCTTTCCCAAGTACGACCACTTTTCCCTCGGTAGCACCGTCCAGTAAGAAGCACCAGCAACACGCCCATGAGACGCCGCCGCCTCCTGGATTGAATGACGACCCGCCTGAGGTCTTGGAAGGAGATCCGGAACACTGCTTTAGGCCAGATGTTGTATCTGGTGGGGCAGAGACTAAAAGCAAAAATTAACAAATTTATCTGAAGCGCTACATTCCTATAGGACAGCAGTATTTTTTTTAGGCCAGTGATTCGCTTTAATTAAACACAAATGGTTGGTTTATATGATGAACCATCAGCCCCTATTTTTCTTAAGTGTAACGCAGTGTCTAACGTTACGTCTGACGGAACCCGAAATAAAAATTAAAGTTACGCCCAACGTAACTGTCAAGCATTCGAGTTACGTCCGACGTAACCCAAAATAAAAATTAAAGTTACCGTATTTACTCGAAAATAGGTCGAACTCTATTTGTTGGACCCACCGAGAATAAAAAAAAAATTCAAATATAGGTCGACTTTTTTTTTATTTTTAAGAACAGGGGAAATTTTGGGCAAAAGAAAGAAACCTTTATTTACATCACTTCACAGCTTGGTAGACATCCTCGCAAATCGGCCACAATACTTCACTGACACCGTTGTAAAATGACGACAAGAAACGAAAGAAGGTGCGAAGCGACGAAAGACAAACTACAAAGACGCAAACAAAGCCGCCGTGTCGCCATGAGCAACACGCGAGCCGAGCCGCCTCAAGCAACTAACAAAAGTAACATCTTTTTTATTTTTATTTTTTTGTGCGCGTTTGCGAGGATGGAGGACAAAGTGCATGGCGCATCGCGTTCCTCTCCTTCCCCATTGCCCAGCAAGGGGAACGCTAGAGGTGCGATGGCGAAATTCAATGCCCCAAGAGGTGCGCGCGATAGCGGCATCGGCCACCGCTGTTGTTTTCGGTTGTTTAACAAAAGCTTTTGGAAACAAGAAGCGGCGCAGCTCTACGGCAACGCCGGCTCGGTGACTCGATAGCTTCATGCCTCCGGTACGGTCGCAAAATTTGGTCGCGAATGTAGGTCGAAATTCTTTAGTCACGATTTCCGAAAAAAAAAAAAAATAAAAAAAAATAAAAGAAAAGAAAAACAAAAGTCGACATATATTTGAATAAACACGGTAGTCAGCTGCGCGACGAGACACACATTATGAAAGCGATTGGTGCGAGCGATCAAGGTGATGAGCGACGTTTTCTAGAAGCCCAGGAACCGAGCGGCGCAAGCAGCGAGAGTGAGAAATCTTCGTCGCTCGGCGCCGGCACTCGTAGCTTCTCGTCGTCGCTCGTCTCGTTGATCGCTATATTGCTTACATGCTGTTCAGAAAGGTGCTCTAAGTGGTTACCATTGCATTGGGACCAGCCTCGCATCCAACCGTAACCAGTCTTGAGTTTTTTTTAAGCCGCCCAGGTAGAAGTTAACATCGTACATACATCGTTTTCAAGCACGGCTCCTCGTTCATTGCTCGATTTACTTTTTCGTAAATGACAAACCGCAATGAAGCAAAATTATTCTAGTTCAAAATTGTCACGAACACTTGGCACGCATGCTTACACTGTAGCGCACCTAACGTAATTTAAAAGTAGAACGAAAACGGGACGAGATTCGCTTACCGCTTCACGGAAACAGAGTCCTTCGGATCCTAGGCCTAACGGCCGAAATCGGAAGTCGCCTGCGGTCCGGCGATCGGACGAGTTGAGCCGGCCGCGCTGTGCTGACCCCGGCTGACCACGCCTGGTTGAACCATGAGAGGCGTCGTCGAGTTGAGAGCCAGAGACGCAGTAGAAACGGACCGTAAAACATCTGTCCCGTAAAACGCAGAAGGAGCCAGCGCCAAAACCGCTACGTCTGGCTGCGTCGCCATCTCCGCGACGACCGGAAGCGTGTAAACCGGGACTGGCCGGGAAGTTAGAAAAGGCGCGGCAGCGGAAGCCACTGGGCGGAAGCTTTACGTTTCGGTTTCGCTTTTCTCCGACATCGGCCACGGTCGCGGGCTGGTATGTTTGCGGCTGGTTGCGACGACGCGAGGGGCCACGAAAAGACGCCGAGTTGGCCGAGTACGAGTCACGGCCCACGATACGAGCAACGGGCCATTTGCCCCTGTCGACCGGCGATGCGGTATCCGCGGCTTAGTGTCACGATCGGTTTGTTGCCGTGCACGCTGACTCAAAGCTCGAAGTTATGCAGTTCCGTCAGTTCCGTTCCGGCACCAGCCGCACCACGTTTTCCGGTGCATCGCACGTGGAGGCCTTTCGAAGCATTCAGTGAACGTAAAGATCGCGCCCGCTGTCTTCGGTGCTGTGGAAGAAGTTGGGAGACGGAAGAAGCATCAAAACCAAGGCGTTTATAGACTCCAGTCCGGGCCGCCGGTCCACTCTGAACGAGAGGCGACGTGTGTGTGCACGCTTTGAGGAAGCCTCCACGTTTCGCCGCGCCAGACCTCGCCGATCGCGACCAGACCCCGAGTCCGAGAGGCTCTTGCGCAGCCAGGAACGGCAGCGAGGTAGGAGCTGCTCGTTCTGCGCAACCATGCAGTGCTCTACAGTGATCGGAGCTCTCGGTGTCATGCGTGCTTGCACCGAAGCCTTTGTGACCCCTTCGGACGCGCAAGTCGTACTTCGCAAAGGTTTGGACGGGGCCGCCCTCACCGAGCAGCTCCGCTAAATTCCGCTTACTTATGATCGCAATAAAAGCTTGCGTTTGCTCTCGGGAAAAAAATTGCGGGACCGCTCTCCGCGCCGCCGACGAGGTTGGCCGCCACCATGTTCTCAGCTGTTCACTCGCTCCCGCAGCGAGCGCCTTCCGATAATCCTCCCCGTTCCAAAATGCGATGCGATCTTCGTTTACACGGGCTGAATGAATGCGCACTCGCCATCTCGATCCACCTCTGTCTAGCGACTTTAATGCGATGCGCTTTGCGCATTATGCCGTTTACATGACCGCATATTGAATGCGGCAACTGGATTCAATGCGACTAAGTCGCATTCATGTAAACGCGGCTTATGTTATTTTTCGACATGTATAATGTATGTAACGATACCGGTGGTAAACGATGGACGTTTTTGTTGGAAGATAGAGATAGTTTAGTTATACCGGTGGTCTTGTGGTATAGGCGTTTCGTTGGAAAGATGGCGGTCGCCTACGTCATCGGACGCAAAATCATACCAGCCATATCGAGTCATATCGGCGAGCAAACCGGCTGCCAGTATAGACAGACCCGGAGCCATAGCGGTGCCGGTATCTCCAGTTATGGGGAACGCAAAACCAAACTAGCTGCATGTATAATAACAATAAATTATGGTGGTGTCATACCAGGACTGTACAAGCAGCAGGTTTGTTTCTTGTACGTTTTTCCAATAGGGATACCCTTGTAGTTTCCCGAGCGCCCAAATTTTTTTGCCCATCCCTGTACCCAACAGAAATGCGTGCACCGCACCGCCTTCCCCCCCTCCTCCCCACCCACCCACCATACACCATATAACATAAACTGTGCACTGCCGAATGCCCATTCACCACTCGGTAACTGGCGCCATTCAGCTCCATGTATTCGAGAGCCATTGTCGGCCACCATTTTTCCATTTAAAATTTCAGAAGATCACATGGCTTGGTTAGTTCTGAAGCTTTTGCATCTATAGTCCGTTACAGGTGAAAAAGTTTGTGAGAAAAAGGAAGGTTGGGGAGGAGGAAGCAGACAGAATGCTGGAAGGAAGGGGAGGAGACTTCCTCCTCTCTTCAGCGTTTAGTCTGCTTCCTCCTCCCCAACCTTTCTTTCCCTCCAAAACTTTTCTTAACTTGTAACCGACTATTGTTCTGACCGCAGCGCTAGATTTGGGTGGAGGATGTGTGTTCCGCGATACATAAACTATTTTCGCAATAAAAAAAAAACAAAAAAAAAAACCTGCAACTTTTTGTTTTAAGGGGGGGGGGGGGGAGGTACAAATAGTATATCCTTAGCTGAAGCACTATTGTAACAGTGATGCCACCCATTGGTGAACAAGCACTCATTCTCTGCATTATTGCTTACAATGTCTGCGAAGGGGATTCCTCAGCTTGCCGCCATTCAAGGTAGATGGGGGTTTCTCAATATCTAACAGTTTGTAAACTGGTGTGCAAACAGAGGAACATACAAATTGCCTTTCCACGTTTTATTCAATGTTCCGATTTTTCTTTTTGTTTGTACTGCTAGTACACGGAATCGTAGCTAGCAGCTGGAGCTTCTGCAGTCACTCGGAAGTTTCCCTTTTCTTTCAGCTTTGCTTGGAGCAGGGTGTGAACAGCGACACCAATGCGCACGTCCATCTGCGTTATTTCGGCTTTGAGACGTGTCAGTGCCTTGCGTATGTTTACCAGTGGAGCTGAAAGACATTTGTAAAAAAATAAAAAAAGCTTGTGAGAAGCGCTGCAATGCAGTTGACAAGCTATGCTTCGTCTCGGGCACACACTGGCGACTGCTTACAACTGACTGCATTGTGATCTCTTACAATGAGAAAACACACTGGCTCCATCTACTGGGCAGCCGTGGAATGCTTGCAATTTTCGTATAGTATTTACTTTTTCTTGAGCATCATTCATTCTTCATTGACCTGAGAAACTTTGAACAATGTTATAAACAGCCATTTGTCATAGATAGTATGTAGTACATTTGATCTCGCAAGTATTGCAAAAACCTATGCTCTCGTGATATGCACTTCCAAGGCCACGCCACAGATGGCATCACCGTGTTCTCTCGGCGTTACTCGTTGTAAGATATCACAAGAAGTCGGCCATAAGCAGTCGCAAGTGTGTGAGCCAGCGTTTAGTGTGCACTCTGAATTACGTGCATCGAAACAGGAGGGACTACTATTAACGCCCGGATAATCCTGACATTTTAAGAGCACAAAACGGTAGAAGGGAAGAGAAGTGCCCTTCCCCCACCTCCCGTAGCCCCCACATCTCCCAAACACATCCGACGATCCTGACTGTAATGAATGTTACAGTTAAAAGTGCAGCGGGTGCTGTGGCATCACTAGGGTCAGCGGCAACCTCGACGGTGGCCCTCTGCGACACCCTACTCCCCTTTTTACCGCCCAGTTGCACCCCCCTAAGTGCTGCACCCGGGACAATCTGCCCCCCCCCCCCTCCTAGTGATGCCATTGAGGGAGAGCAATCCCCAAAGCCATAAACTTAAAAGTCCAGTCACAATAGATTAAAAAAAAAAAATTTTAAACATGCCATGAAACCTAAATTATGCATGTAAGCTCATAAAGCATCCACTTTTCTTCTCTGAACGTTCCTGAATTGCTGAAAATATATACCTACTGTACTACCATCAGACCTCTCCAAAGTAAAGTCAGTTTTTTTCAAGAAAATGTTTTGCTAAGTGCACCCCAACTTTTAGACAGTGCGTACCCGCAAAAATACAACTGCAACAAACTTGGGGTCGAGTGCTTGCCTAAATAAAGACAAATTTATACACTTTTTACTCTCACCAATTGCGAAATTTAAAAGCTTGAAGACTGGGCGTTTGCTTGCACACGGGTGCAAGCCCAGAGTCCTACAGGGAGGTGTGCATAAATTCTGCTCACACAAATCCATACCGATTCTGTCGAAATTGAATAGGCAACTTGTTTAGGAATCGATTTGACAACAAATCAGGCTCTGCATTGACACTGACATCAGCTGCAGTCAGATGACCATTTTGAAATATCCCAGACTTGAGCCATGACGGGGGTGTGACTCTAATGGCCTTCTATCGTCGCCGACAGGATAAGCAAGGCAGATCGCCTCTCTCAGATGCCCGGCCTCTAACATGTGCACGTCGACTCCTGCCGTTCACTGGTTGCTTACGAGACGCCGAAGTGTCATCGAGGGAGGACACTTGAAAGTCCTCCTTGCCTTTCTTACGCTGTTAGTGACTATAGTTTCACTTGGCAAATAACAGCCCAACACTGCCCGCTCACGTTTCAAGGGCAGTTCTTTGGTGGCCAGATCAAATTCAAGCACTACCACCTGTCCAGAACGACATTCTTTTGCACCGACTGGTAACTCTCGAGCCTTAGAAATGTTACCACTAGCAAGGTGTAGTTGCCATGTCTGCAGGCAGTGTTCGATATCTGCTAGACAAGTCGGTGAAGCGCACGAGGTAGCTTACTCCCATCGGTCATGCTCGATCCTCTTTCTTCCATTTCTTGTTTAATTTGGTCCAATTCTTCCGTTATCTGAAAAAGAAGGTGTCGTCATTTGTGTGACAAGTAACTTTCGGGTGCTCTTCCTTCGAATTTTCTTGACGCATCTGCTATTGATACTTGCTCGGCGTCCCCATGCGGAACAGTAAACATGAAGTCTGTATGCCAAAGTTCCAGAGCAGAGTGTGTCTTGGAGAAGATACGGTATACTAATACCTCGTCGCGAGAGGCAGCCACGAATATCAACACTAGGGGGACTAGTCCACCTGCAGGACAAATCTCCAGACAAGTGAGCTCTCCCACCTGGGCGAGGGTGAGGGACCTGTCAGTGATGCCTCCACTGACAGACCTGTACTGCTCCTTGGCCTGAGCCAAGCTTTCCTGGGCCGACCGATAATCAGAGAGGAATGTTTCCAGCTGAGCGTTCAGGTACTTCTCTCGGCTGTTCACCTGGGCAAAGTTGAATAAAGCATTAGTTAGTGCAAAAACACTTTTCTTTGGCTTTCCTATGGATTTTTTTCTGGTTCGCCACATAAAGATATCAAACTAACAACCAGCAGTGAAGCCTAATTCAGGCACTTGTTTGGCAATTTTGGCCCAAAGATGCCCACTGATGTGATTGGCCTAAGCCATTTTGGAGCACCTTTCAGAGCAGCCAGAACAGCGTTTTTGAGCAGCAAAAGTAGCTTTTGGAGCAGCCAAGACAGTGTTTCGGAGCAGCTAAAGTGGCTTTTGGGAACAAATATTCCTAGAAAAATAAAAATATTCATTTTAAGTGCTGTACAAGCAAGGGCCCTTTGTGTTGTGTTGTTTCCTGATGTGACGTGTTGTGACGGAACTCGCTGTTTGTGTTTTTACTGCTGAGACATCCCACAAGTGTACAGTGCTGTAGGCATTGCTGAGCAACTCCGAAAAACCGCTTGCCACTGTTCTACTGGTTCCCGACGTGCCAGATTTTCGTCAAAAGTAAGCAAACGTAAAACAATCGATTGCAAGCGTCCCAGCTGGTGCCTCTGTCGTGCAATCGTGTTTGCATGGACGTGAGGGAAACTTCGGCAGGCTTGCAGTTACGCTTGCCTCGTCACGCGAGCGGAGACAACGAATGTTCGATCGAAACCGAAACCATGCCACTCCGCTCCGTCGCCAACTGATTCCCAAAATTGTATGCAAAAGGTAACTGCCGAGAATATGAAAAAAAAACGGCCCAGCAATGCGTACCTGCCAGGGTACAAGCTAAACACACACACACACAAAAAACAAACCCGAGCACATCGATGCAAGACATCGCAAGTCAGGGTCAAAAAGTTCTTGGAGCACTTTGCGCAACGACTGAACTCGAGACAAACAAGCGTGCTGTGCGGGTTCAGCGTGCAGGCATTGCCTTCTTTGCTTTAGCTCACTTCTCTTCAACAACTTTCTTTCGCGGCAAATTTTTCACGCACTGGGGTTCCCTCCAAAGAAAGCCTACCGAGAGAAAACCTAGGTAATCAGTACTTCGACACAGCAGTCTTTTAGGAGGGATTTTAGTAGTAATGTACGATTTGAAGAAGAACAGAAATGTTGATGAAGATGCGGCGGTACTTAGTTTCGTTTTAGAAAGCGCCATATCCACAGTGACATGGGGAAGGCAACACCTGACGTCGCGCGACCACGGTGACTGCCAGGCAGGGACCAAATATAGTTTTCCCACAGCTCTTGCTTTCAGGAGCGAGTGCTTCAGCTCACAAAGTAACTCCCGCCGTGCAAAAACGTGGTTTCGTTTCACAGCATGACTGCAAGGCAGGTACCCGGCACGCTAGCGTCGGAGTGTCCGCAGACACCTGCGTCTATCGTTAAAAATATAAAAAAAAAAAAAAAGGACGCGAGACAAGACCCACGAGACGACGAGAGCGTGAAACACGAGACGAAAGGAAAACCACGCAAGACCGGATAAGACAATTGATGCAGGGTATTTTGTGTCGGGCGGCCGCTTACACCACATAACTCACGCATGCTCAATTGCGGTACTTAGTTTAAAAGACGACCGAAATTGTTTTTTTGGTGCAGGCTTGGCGCAGATTACCCATATATTGGCACAGTGTAGCAGGATGTAGCAGGATGAGCCCCTTAGCGCAGTTTGGTGCAATTGGCACAGCAATCACATCACTGGATGCCACATGAAGGCCAAACCACCAGAAGTGAAGCCTAACTTTGGTAGCCGTTTGGCGACTTTGGCACAAAGATACCAGATGACAGCCAAACTACCAGGGAGCAAAGCCATACTTCGGCACTTGTTTGGCAATTTAGGGTCAAGGTACGCAGACCCAAGCCAAAGAAGGTCAAGTGTGGCTCTACTTTGGTTTCTTTAGGCACTTTAAGGCCCTAAATGCCCAGACAAAACTAAGTTTTGACCCAAAGAACTGTGCTAGCTGGGTACAGACAACTAAGGCTTTTGTTTTCATACCTACCGTAAAGTTCCGAAAGAACGCCCACCCAAAATTAAGAGATAAATGGTGAAAAACATGGGGTGGGCGAAGTTTCGGGCCAAGGGCCAAAAACTACAAAAAAAATGGCTGCATTTGACAGATCAGCGGTGCATACGCATTTATTGCTCACTCGTCATCGCTAAATTCATCGAACGACTCATCGCTGTCGCTGTCAAAGACGAGTTGCACTACTTCGTCCACTATGCTCTCCCGAGCTTCGGGCCCCATCGCTGGTTCGTCGCTTACAGAGGCCAGGCGGTGGTTCAACTCCCCGTCTTCTGAGCCGTCGAGGCGTGTTGAGATGCCGCAGCGCTTGAACGACGTCAGGACGGCCTCCTCCGATAGAGATGCCCAAGTCTCGGACACGAAGCTGACGACATCCTGACGCGACGGCTTCTTGAGGTTCCCTTTGGCGGTGACAGCCCCTTCCCGCAAGAAGGAGGACCAACGATTCCTGAGAGCATCTTTGAAGGGCTTCATCCAGCACACGTCTGCTGGCTGGAGAATAGACGTGCACCCGCCAGGAATGAAGACAACGTCGGTTTCCTTCCCGTCGAGGGCCTCCCGCGCTGCCTCTGTCTTGTGAATGGGCGCCTGGTCCAAGACGAGCAGCCGCCTCACGTCGTCTTTGTTGGCACCCCACACCCTCCGCACCCATTCGAGGAAGACCTGCGTAGTCATCCATCCGTTCCTTGAACAGGTCACTCTCACATTTTCTGAAAGGAGCCGAGATTCGGTTTCATTCCAAACTCCGGCAAAGCCAACCACCAACAACCGGAGCAGCCGCAAACACGAAAGCATCGCCGCATCGCTGCGTAGTATTGACGGTATTGATGAAAAAACAAAACTTGTGACGAACCCATGCAGCGCCCTCTACTAGAAATGCACAAATACATGTGGAAGGCGCTTTTTATATCGTTCACAAAACAACGCTGTCCTAAAACTTTTTTTTTTTTTTTATGCGAAAGGCGTGAGTGCATGTTTTCAACTTATTTTTATGCTGAAATTTGTTTGGGCAAACCAGAAGTAACATTGGCCGCACGCGGAAATTGAGACAATACCTGGGATTTGAAGTGCGAACAGTGCCCTTGGCGGGATCCGGCCCGTCGGTTCCTTGAGCACGATGAGAGCCGGGAGTTTGATGCCCGCAGCTGTTGCACAGAGTGCAACCGTCAGTCCACGACGCGCACAGCCTGTGTTCACGATGCGGATGCTTGATTCGCCGGCAACGTTGTTTGTCCGCTTGGCTGGGCAGTCCATGCGTACCATGGTTTGGTCCATGTTGGCTATACTAAAGTTGGAGTAACTGTGCTCCAGGCGCAGGCTTCCCACAGCCCTCCGGAAGACGGAGATTGCGTCAGCGTAGTCAGCCGGCAGCTTCTGACTCTCGTTCGTCCCCACTCGCATCGACACATTGAAGCGGGCTTTCCAGCGGGCCAGGTAGTGGTTCGAAGCTTCGAAGTTGCCCAGGTTCATCTGAACCGCCAACTTGCGTGCGTGCTCTTGAAGGACGCGGTTGCTCACCGCTCGCCCCGCCGCCCGCTCGGTATCCAAGAAGTCCATGAGTGCTTCATCGAGCTCTTCGCTGAAGACCGGCCGTCCGTTGTTGATGGCTCTCTTGAATTTGTTTTTGCCGTGGCACTGCTGCAGAAGGGACTGGTAGTTGGTGCTCCATTCGCGAACACGTTTCCTGTCCAGCTCAAAATGTCTTGCAGTTTTGCTTACGTTGTCTCCATTCTTCTTGTGCCACTGGACAACTTCCACCTTTCTCTGGATGGTGTAGCTATTCCTCATGGTCGATGCTGGAAGCGAGGGCAGGTGAACAGCTGCGGGGCACGCAGAGGAATGACTGTCTACTAGTGTGGAGTTTGTTTGCTTGAGCTGTTTCTTCTTTTCCTTTGTACCCGGACGTCTTGAATGATTCACTTCTAGTTCGCCCTTATCTTATCAATCTAACCGGAAAAGATCTTCTCTTTTGTTAGAAATCGGGTCACTGGCGGTGTTTGCGGACGAGTCATCGGTTTTTCCAGAGGTATGTTCGCGGCAAGGGCTTCCCGGGCTTTCGAATGCGTCGAAGCTACTGCGATTTTTAGGGGGTGGGCGATGTTTGGGAACTTTATTAAAATATATATTTCGTCCAAAAAGGTGGGTGGGCGAGGTTTCGGGCGGGGGCGTTCTCTCGGAACTTTACGGTAGTGTGCTGAATCATCCAAATCCCCAAGAATTTTATCGAACGACTGCAACCGGTAGAAGAGACCTGCCTTCATTCCCAACAAGTAAGACTGAGTGCGGCAGTCAGCCAAAAACACAAAAGAAGTGGCAAAGTTTTTTTTTTCTTTCTACCAAATGCTTTCAGAAATTGACATAAAGATAGAAGTTTAAATTTGTGAGTAATATATTTTCAAATGAATTTTGGAAACAAATTTATCTCAAAATTAAGGTAGTACTGCCATAGTGAAAACAGCATACTATCTTCAATGAAGAGGCAAGACTTTAAAATTTTTCTATTTGACTGGGTGGCAAGGTTACATGATACTTTCTTAACATGCACCAAGTGCACCATAACTCGTGTTAGTCAATGAAGAGGAATGGCTAACGAGTTACTTTTTTTATGGGTTTAGTATTACATCGCTTGGTCTGAACTGAAAAAGTTATGGGAACTTTTTAGACGAGTTGTGCATCAATATGTTTTTTTTTAATTGTTCTAATTATATTACCTAGTTTTATTTTATGAGCCTGCCACTCTGGCAGAACCGCAAGTGGCAGACTTACGGCGGAACACCAAGTGCTGCAAAGCTCTTTATGCACAACACAGTATTTTTTATAATACCTCACACGTTTTCAATTCGACATTGTCATCAAATCCGGATCTTACAAATTCTAGGCCACAAAACCTAAAACAATAAACTCTGAGGATAACACAGCACTAAAAAAAAATCCTGCCTAAAACCCAACGGGTCGCAGAGAAAAAAAATATGAACTGTTTGCAATGCAATCTAGTAAGGTTATGAAACTGTTTATGTGAAAATTAAAGAATGTGATCAGCTGAATGAGGAATACGGTATATATACATGCACTGAATTCATATAAATGTGCTGTTCAAGCAAAACCACATTTTTCAATATGTCTCATCTATTATATAGATTACTCAGCCTTGGAACTGGAAGAGTGGAATATTGTATAACTTCTGGTGACTTAAGACGCCCCCCAGGTGATGTTCCCATTGCTGTTAGTAGAAATATTTGAGAGTTACTACATATTATAAATATATTAACATTTATAGGGTTGATGTAAGCTTGTGCACACACTGATAAAATTCATTAGTCTTACGATGTCATATCTCATCACTGTTGACAGGAGTAATCAAATAAAGTTTAAGGACTGATTTAAAAGGTTAAAAGTGCAAAACAAGAAAAGGACAACGAAGAAAACACACATGACACAGAAAGGCACTAACTTGCAACTGATATTTTATCCCAGTATTAAAGCAGCACATATGCACAAAGTTGGTGCTTTGTACATGCATGTGCACCAGTTCGACTGACTGTGATAAAATATCAGTTGCAAGTTAGCACCCGTCTGTATCGTGTGCGTTTTCTTCTTCGTCCTTTTCTTGTTTTGCGCTAGAACCTTTTAAATCATCATGAACCTATTAGCTCAAAACAAAGTCTTAACTTAAGAACAACTTTACAATATAAGCTCTGGATGATCTCATTCTTGTCCAGCTCGCTCGGACCTTTGTATTTATTGCATTATCATCATACAGTTTTAATTTTTATTTTTGAAGTACCTTGTCTAGGGTGCTGGCAATGTTAGCTGCCAGTCGGTCAAGCTGGCTCTTGGTGACCGTCAATCCTTCCTCCATGTCCTTGCGGTACTGCTGTATCTGGTCAAGATGGTTACGCCAGTCCTGAAGAAATACACCAGTGGAGAGAGTCAAACCCTTCCTTAGAAGAATGGATAGTTGGGCGAGTTGGTGGGAATTCCAGTCGGTCAAGCTGGCTCTTGGTGACCGTCAATCCTTCCTCCATGTCCTTGCGGTACTGCTGTATCTGGTCAAGATGGTTACGCCAGTCCTGAAGAAATACACCAGTGGAGAGAGTCAAACCCTTCCTTAGAAGAATGGATAGTTGGGCGAGTTGGTGGGAATTCATCTTGGGACACAGAGCGAACAACAGACGTTGACGAAGGAACACACGTCCTGTGTGTTTCTTCTTCGTCCACGTCTGTTGTTCGCGCTGTGTACCAAGATCAAACCCTTCCATTTCAAGTCGCCACTGCACATACAGATTGTGATGTGAAAACAAATTAGATGTTGAATTTATAGACAGCAAAAGGTTTGCTTGCCTATGAGGTATGGCAATGCTGGCTCATGCTGTAGATGAGAAACTTAGCAGCTGCAGAATGCACAATTATTGGATTCTAAAAATTTTGACAGACATTTAAAAGGCAGACACCTTAACTACCACTGTGACCATTTGTGCTCACGTGTACCAACAACTTACGCAGTAAAGTATGGTGTTTGACCGAAGTTGCATCTAATGTTCTATGTATGTGACAGTAGCCTGTGATTAGTGGCAAGCACCGTTGACATCGTCATCACTTCTCCCTTGTTCAAGGATGCGTTGGGTCACTATTATGCCATGCCTCATGTAACCGCCGATTCTGAAGTCCTATTCAAACTCGTTGACTCAAACACCTGAGTAGCAAGACTACGCGAGTGAGTCGATAGACTTCACATGGTGTAAAACAATTGGGATGTTGCACGAAAAAGGACTCTGGCCACCCAAATCACTGGATACGAGCACCAATAACTGCACCACGTGGGAGGGATCGGCTGCAGTCATACCAGTGGTATGAAACAGCCGCGGAACTCCAGAAGCAAGCTTTATGTGAGTTATCAGAACCTAGGCTCAGAAAATCTACCACATGTTTTAGTTAACGACAAACAAAAGAAGGACGTAAACATCATCAAGGTGAAGTTCACGGCACACTTTACGCCACGCATCAACCATGCCTACGAGAGGCAGGGCCGCCAACCCGAGAGAAATTTCCCAGACTAAGGTGATTTTCCAGTCTATCTTGGAATAAGGGAAATCTTGCAAGTTTTAGGAAAATTTTGGGCAGTGTATATATCTGAAAATTTTTAAATCAATTACTTTTTTTTTTTTTTCAAATAACATCGAATTTTAGTGGCTTTGGCTACATTTGAGTTATTCCCTTCATCTGTTTGGCAGTTTGTTGTGCAACCATCTGGTAACACTGAGGAACACTCAAACAACTCTTTTTGGAAAAATCAGTTTTTATCACCGCCGTGAAAACTATAGAAGAAGGGAACAGTCAACTCGAAGCTTCTGAGAGCGCCACTGTGTCTTCCCAGAAAAGAAACCTTGAGTACAAGAAATACTGCAATGTCTGGATATACAGACACCATGTCCAAGATACAGACTTACCACGACTAATAATCTTTTGTGAAGTGCAGTGCAAAAAAATGGTACTTACTATGTGTCATGTTTGATCTGTTCGAGTTTGAGAACTCTAGCCTGTGTTACAGCTTTTGTTTTGGACTGACTATCATAAAAAGTGCTAAAGAAGTTATTAAAGCAGTACCATGTTCTGATGACGTGCATAACATGTAAGGCAAAGATAGTTTCATTCGTCAGTTTGAATCTCCCTATGACACTTTCTTTTGTCAGATTTGCTTTAATTACTCTTTTGGCCCGATAAACTCATTTTTGCAAAATATATGCGAGGCACAAAGGCTACATAATATATCTCTCATCGTAAAAATGGAAGTGATGTAGAAAAGAATGGGTATTTAGCCTGTTATAATTACTTAGGCAAGGGAGGTAAATTTCGGCAGAAATGGGGAAAATGTCAGGCGTCTGAAAGGGAAATTCGGACTTCCCATGTTGGCAGCCCTGACGAGAGGTATAAATTTAACCAGATGGCACAGAAAGAAGGAGAGTCGTTCATGGACTATGTGACTATCGCACAACTAGAAGCGAGCAGATACAATTTCGGTCGACTCACGGAAGAACTGCTATAAAATCATATCATCATGAGCGCGCAGAACAACCAAGTCAGAAAAAAAAACTCCTGACGGATCCAGCCATGGACTTGGACAAGGCAATACACCTTTGCAAGGCAAATACAGTTGAAGCTCGATTTAGCGAAGTCACCAGGACCCAATAATTATTTCGTTAAATCGGGAACTTCGTAAAGTCGAGAAAGACATTCTTCGGGATAGGCTGCGCGGGGAATCCAAATTTGTTCGTTAAATCGGGAAACTCGTAAAATCGAGTTTCGTTAAATTGAGGTTCAACTGTAAGCAGGTGACTCAACAAATCAAAGACATGACGACGCAGAGTACCAAGGCTGTCGACACAGTGCGACCCAGATCGGAGCAAAAAAAGAAGACCACAGCCGACAAGCAGACGCCAAAACAGCCATCGGAAAAGTGAGATACACAGATGCTGCTAGCAGAAAGACAAGTTCTCAGGAACTGTGGCTATTGTGGAAGCCAGCATCAGAGAGGAGACTGCCAAGGATACAGCAAGAAGTGTGCCACCTGCGACACAACCGGACACTTAGCAGCTGTCTGCAGAACAAGCAAGAGAAAACAAAGAGAGGTTCACGCCATTAAATGCACAGACTCTGATGAAAAAATTTTTTTTTCAGAAATCCAAAAGGAAAAGGATAACACAAGTGAAAACTGGTATGAAAGCATCGCATTTCCTTGCGGGAAGACAGTAAAAATGAAGTTGTACACTGGAGCCCAGTGCAATGTGCTACGAGTCGGCATTAGAAATAGTCTCAACCTCAAGAGAAGACAATCGCCAGTGAAACGCATCGTCTCCTACTCACAACAAAGTCTTGACGTCACCGGCGAGAGCACAGATCTGTAAGGTACAGGACAAGCCAGTCAAGATCGAATTCATTGTTGTGGATGGACACACGCAGCACCCCATTCTAAGAAAAAAACGCCTGCGAAACGCTGAACCTAGTGAAGCGCATGCATTTGCTAGAACAGCAACATGGAAAACTGTACACAGGCCTGCATGCATAAAAGTGTCCGTTTATGATGCAGACCTAAAGGCCAACACAGACACAGGAGAAAGCAGACCAACGAGTAATGTGCCATTCGCCATCATGGATGATGTCAAGAAAGAACTCGACAACATGGAGGATGGTGGAATCATCAAAAAAATAAATGATCCTACTCCATTCTGCAGTCAGATGATTGTAGTCAAGCGGAAAGGCAAGCTAAGAATTTGCCTAGACCCAACAGACCTGAACAAGAACTTACTCGGAAGACATTTCCCTCTCAACACGCTGGAAGAAATCGCAGCACCGGTCAGTGGATCCAAAGTCTTCACGCTGCTTGACCTGAAGAAGGGTTTTGGCAACTGACGGCGTACGCAGTGATGTGATTGGCCTGATCCGTTTTGGAGCACCTTTCGGAGCAGCCAAAACAGTGTTTTGGAGCAGCAAAAGTGGCCTTTGCAGCAGCCAAAACAGTGTCTTGGAGCAGCAAAAGTGGTTTTTGGAGCACCCAAAACAGGTGTTTCGGAGCAGGAAGTGGCTTTTAAAGCAGATATTCTTAGAAAAGTAAAAATGTTTGTTTTAAGTGCTGGACAAACGAAGAGAACTTTGCTCACCGCAATAAACAAATTATGGTCACGTTAGACCACCTGGGAGTCTTTCAACATGTAACTGAAATGCCAATGACATGACACATTTTGCAATGCTGCAGTTAAAGAGATACTGAACCGAAATTTTGAGCTCACAAAACAAGGCTGGATGGATAGGCGGGACGCTGCAAAATTTAAAAAAAAATCACTCATACCGCGATATCTCTAACGGATCGCCGTATTTTTTGGAAAAGAGGTTTGCGAATAAATGCGGCCGACGAGGCCGACGTGACAAGGCACGTCACGATTCCCGTTCCCTCTCCTCCTCGCTACGTCCCGTCGAGTTGGTGAACCGTAGCGAGGAGGAGAGAAGTGAAGCCGCTTCTCCTCATCTTCAAATCCTCCCGGAGGAAATTACGTCAAAGACCTCGCTTCATCGCGCCCTTCTTATTTAAAAGTACGGCCATCCGTTTGAGATATTGATAAATCAGTGACGTTTTGGTGTTTGCAGCGTCCCGTTCAACGCTTCTGCGGCCTTATTTTGCGAAATTCAAATTTTGGTTCAGTCTTCCTTTAAATGGTACATAGACCTATATGTAACCGCTATAGATATATAAGAACCAAAATGCGCGTATTAAACGTCATTTGAAAATGACCAGCTTAGTAGTAAATGTCACAGCATTAGGTTGACTATTTATATAATATAATAAATAGAAGCAGTCTCAGACTGATGAAACACCTAACTACTGCAGTGCAATGCGAAATTGTACACAAGAGAAAGGTACATTACGACTAGCGGGTGCTTTTCCTTTTGCTTTTCTAAACTTTTTGCGAGGCTGCCGCAAGCCCCGTTTTGCCTTCGGCTAGAAATGAATGTCCACTTTCAATGTCTCCAAAGAGAAATTGAGACATTCCACAAGTGCACAGAGCTGTAGGCGTTGCCGAGCAATTCCGAAAAACCGCTTGCCACCGTTTCACTGGTTCCAGACGTGCCAGATTTTCGTCAAACGTTACACACGTAAAACAATGGATCGCAAGCGTCCCGGCTGGTGCCTCTATCGTGCAATCGTGTTCGCATACATATGAGGGCAACTTCAGCAGGCTTGCAGTTGCACGTGCTTCCTCGCGCGAGCGGAGATGGCTGTTCGATTGAAACCACGGTGACCGAAACCATGCCGCTCCGTTCCGTCGCCAACTGATTCCCAGAATTGTATGCAAAATGTAACTCTTCAGCATACGACAAAAAACAGTCCAGCGGCACGTGCTTGCAAGGACG